CGATAAAATTTTACGGAATCGTATTTTCGTCTAACATAGTACTTAACATTAATCCTTAATTTTTACCATATATTTATTTCAAAATTAATGCTCCAATATTTTAGGCATTATGTAGGATCTTTCTAAGCCATTTGAAGTAGTATTTTTAATATTTCCCCTTAATGCTCAACTGGTTATGTTACACACTGGCTACCCGCACTGGCTTCGCTTGGAAATGATCTATTCATGTAGCGTTATTTAGATTAAAGGTAATCAAAAACTATTTATCGTATCTATTTTCGTTTTTTTTTTTGTAAAAGTTTTTGGGATAAATCACATCAAGTCTTATTACATTCGTTTCAGTCGTCCCGAAAATTATGCCGAACAGAGACAGACGGACAAGAATTTTAAAAGTCATTCTTGACTAAATGGCAAAACACCTCAGCTCCTAACTCAGATTCTTCAATTTTATTTACAATATAAATAATGAAACACACATATTATTTGTATAGATTACACAGCATTATATTATCACATTAGGAGCGAGAAATTTGTATCGAAACGTGAAAAATAATTTTTAGAAATAATATATTGAAACTGTTGTCTAAATCTAAATAACTTCCTCCACAACACGCCTCGGAGCTTTTTTATATTGAAGATATTTTTATTATTTTTTACAGTCGTTACTACACAAGATGTTACAGTTCACGTCTGATTATTTTCATACCCATATTCAAGTGATGTGCAGATTCAGGAACGCACTTGGCTGGCCCGAGTTGTAGGGCCAAGCAGATAACTTGTATAAACCGACCGTGGCGACCGACTTGACGAAACCCTGTATGAACCGACTTAATTTTTTTTCCGAAATGGGTTTAGCCTCCAGTTTTTCTTAAGATTCATATGGAAAAAATTACATCGCCTATGGTGAAAAATATGGTATGAAGATTTTAATGTTACTATTTAAAGAACATTTTAGTTGTAACTTCGAACTTAAATTTCTTAGTAGGTACACTCAATCGAATTGAAAAACGAAAGAGAACAGAGTAATTTCCACATAATAGCTTCTGAAGTCGGGGTTTTAATTACTCTATACACTATGTCTTAGCACCGACTTAAAAAGTTATTATGTAGAAAATGTTTTATTATTTTTAGTCTTTGAATTCGGTTATTGCTTTAATTAAGTTTATTTTAAATATTGAATATACAGTACTTTATACAAATTACATTCCTCCTTAAGTAGAAACATATTTCCAACAAGTAGAACGCACAATATTTCAGAGTTTAATTTAAATTAAAACTTATTAAATCTGCCTCAAAATTATAAGTTGTAATAAAACTCTGCGGGTATCATAAATATAGCAGAGAGGCTAACAAAAGGGCTCGAGACTTAATTAAATACAACGCCTGAATAATTTTGCTGGCCAATACAATGTTATTAAATTGTTTGACGAGTTTTTATGGTGTTATTTACGCGTATGATGTGATTTTTAAATAAAATATTTTTAAACATATATGTTTAATTTGCAGCGTGCGGTGTCTTGAGGCGTCGTAAGAAACGACAATAAGAACAAATCTAATGCTTCCGATAGGTGGCAGGATGTCGAGTTCGTCGTGACTAAACGTCGTTAGACGTGAAATACTCAGTGATAACAGAGAATAGGGTCAAAGGTGATGCTATCAGCTACAGTGGTAATGTTATCGCCAATCACTCTGTAAATTCTTCATACAACACAGACGTATTTTCTAGGAGACTCATTTAAATAAAAGTAAATGCATTTTTTTGTTATATTTTGTTATATGGAAGGATTTAAAAAACATAAAATAAAAAGTTAGGATAAAATAAAATAAACGTCTAACATCATACGTATAGTCAAACAAAATGAAACCTTCAGCAGACGAGACCAAATGCGCAATATACGCCCCCAGATGTCCCGCAAGGGTGACCGGGTCTAACCTTTTCGCAGAAAAATTAACAGTAATAATATCGGTTTATTGCTTTTGGTATACTAAAATTAGTTTTTTTTTATACAATATAGTTTAAAACCGGCGTGTTGAACATTACTGGTACATATTATTATTATACTGTTTGCAGACGACGTAAGGATTCGGCCGAAGGACCACTTTGTTGATGATGTAGGCTGTTGGTGTCGTCTAGGAGAAAAATATACTAAAAAAAATTCGTGAGAGGGTGTACATGCGCGGGGAGGGAGACATAGGTGTCACCTCGTATGATGTTCTAGTGCAACTGACTAAGCGCGGGATCATGTACTTAGCGGTGCATTATCGATGTTGCAAAAATACCTTCATCCTACTATAAAAATCGCGGAAGTGCCGCCGTCCCTGTACGCACACGTACTTATTAATTATACAAAAATAAGAAGTACCTACATGAGATAAGTAACAATTTCTTATGTGTATATATTTTACATATTCTATGTTTACGATTCGAAGATCGTACCCGAACGTATAACTCGCGCGAAACCACAAAAGCCCATGCGTACGTTCAGGCTGAGATTCGGCATTAAACTTTATCGCCATCTCATTTTAAGTCTCTTTTGACACATCATTAAAAACCCCAAACTTGTTACTTAGGGTATTGTGGCGTCTAAAGCAGATTTTTCACGCTTTAAAAGTGCAATTACGATTTAACATTTTTTTAATTCATTATGAAAGTTAAAGAATTATGGTGCCCAAAACACGATTGACACAATTTGGCTCGATAGAAAAAGATCGCAAAGTTTCCTAATATCTACAATTTTAGGTACAAAGTGAAAAAGCAGTTTAATTCGAATGTAATGAAATCAATTTCAATTAAATTCAGGCTATGTGTTCATCAAATAAATACGTGAGGGAATTGTGTGTTTATTTTTCTATAAAAGAGTATATATCATTTTAAAAAGAAAAATCAAATAAATATTGTGCGATTAAATAGCGCGCGGGCCGACCTGCTTTTGGCGCCCACTTCACCTTAACCAGTTACGCATCATAAAACCACCTTGCTGGTTAATATATGAAACATCTTTTATCATTTTTGTAGCAGCAGCAACGTCTGGTAAACTATCGATAAAATCGTCCATATATTGATTTTTTTAATAGCATTAACTGCATCTGGCATTTTATTCTGAAAGCGCAATGTGTTTTTATTTTGATATATATATATATATATATATATATATATATATATATATATATATATATATATATATATATATATATATATATCAAAATAAAAACACAAATATATATATTGCGCTACAAATGGGGAGCAATTAGCGCCAAAAATTAATATATATAAAATATAAATTTCTTAACAGAATGTAGCATGGGTTATTTCGACCCTTTGTTATTACTTCCTTAGCCTAATTGTTCATTTTCATTACGTAAATAACCTTCCGTACTACATCTCACATACTATACTAGGTGGGGTTTGCTATACCCTAATTATAAAATATAATAAAATCCGTAAAATTGTTCTTTATGATTTTTAAATAATAATAAATATCTAATAATGAATTGTTTTAAGTAAAATAAATTTTTAATTTTACAATAGAATAGACTTTTATTAATAAAAGTACAAAAACTTAACTTTTTCTTTAAACTATAAACTATTAAGTCTTTTTTTGAGTACTAAAATCAAATGACACTTATTAGAATTACAGTCTTCTTAATTTATAAGACTACAGTATGTCTAGTTTTAAACTATTAACAATTAAAAGTAAAAACAAACAACAATAAATCAGATCTTAGTCAATTAAGTTTCCGCAGTCTTCACAATAAAAATTTGCATGTTCCATACACATAGGCGTATTACATTTTTTTACAAATGTGCCTAGTCTTCCTATCTTTTTGTCTAGGACAAAATGAGCATCTTTGCATTGTATTAGACCTTTTTGCCGGCGGTTCTAGTAAGTTTTCAAGGGGTTTTTGAAAATACTTTCCAATTGTTTGGCGCAGTTCCCTAGGAAGTCTTTGGTTCTGACTTCTTGTTTCTAGATGGGGTCTTACTAAAGACAAACCCAATTCCCGAATGAATTTTCCTCTCAAGTTAGTTTTATTTTTCTCGATGCCGTTGTTGAACATGTGTATAATCATACTATTTATACCAGCATGATTGAGTAAAGCGAAAAATATCGTCAGAGGCCAACGCTTAGAATTACGTAAAATATCGTAAGTTCTTGATAATTTATCAACAACATCAACGCCACTTTTAGTCTGATTGTAGAACGTAATAATAGCCGGTTTTTGCTGACTTCCTGTTTCAAGATCGATTTCTTTATCATGATGCAATGACGACATCACATTCACTATTTTACTTGACTTTGGTACGTAGGATAAGATTGTAATATCTTTTTGGAATCCAAATTTTGTAGTATTTACTTCACGATTTGTTTTGAATACAGGTGGAATACAAGTTTTATTAGCGTGTAACGTTCCAACCACAGTCTGTTTATGATCTTTCAATAAATAATTAGTGCTCTCGTAACTTGTAAAAAAATTATCCAGTCGATCAACTACGTCGTAGGGTTTATTGCTAACAGCACAAGGACCATGGTTGCTTGCCGCAATATATTTCCATATTTAGGGTGTAATAGGTCTTATTTTCCACCAAAGCATAAATTTTTATACCGTATTTTGCTGGTTTGGATGGTATGTATTGGCGGAAACCACAACGTCCTCTAAAGGCTACTAGTTCTTCATCCAAAGTAAGGTTTTCATACGGAATGTAAACATCTTGAGATTTTTTTACAAATTTTTCAAATATACTTCTGATCGGGGCTAATCGATCTATCTTTATTCTCTCAATTCGTGTAGCAGCGCTATCAAATCTCAAATTTTTGCAGTCAGAAAACAAATCTGTTTCTACAAACTGTGTCTCAAAACACATCCTGTACATTCCTGTACCGTCTGTGGCCCATACGTCGATTGTGTTTTGGCGACCAGAACGCGCTAAACCAGATAGAAAAAACAAGCCAAATAGTGCCTTCATTTCTGCCAGTGTTGTTTCTGACTTTTGTGGGTCGTTAGTAGATTGCAAACGAATTTTTAGCAATCATATATTCAGTAATAAATAAAGAAAAGCACTGAATAGGTGAGTTCTTGTCTCTCGCAACTGATTTTACGCCAGGTAGATGATAAATAATATTTTCAGCTCTGTTACGAATTGCAAGCCTGTATGGGTTTTTTTGCCATTTTGTAACCCCATCTTTGCCTTTATAATATTCTGTATGATCAGCTTGTTGCAACTCCGAGAGTCTGCAGTCATTATTGTCTGAATCCAAAGATGGTATGTCAGCATCCACTTCACTATCTGTATTGCTTTGAGCACTGATATGATGTGCATCACCATCCGATTCATGTTCGGTATTCATAAACTCAGTGTGACAATCATCGTATTCTTCTGTAAATGCTCATAATATATCTTCTTCCGCTAACCGAGACATGTTTTAGTAAAACTATTATCTGCAAACAATATTTCACCACGTTAAACATCGAAATAAACATATAAATTAATGAAAATCAAAAGTAGTTACACAGATCGCTATTTATCGATTTTACCGTGTGTAAGTCAAACACATATTGCGATGGATCTGCCTTATCCGTTCAACTATTTAAGAAAGAGACAAAGCGATCAGTGCAATTAAGATCACTATCTATATCATATATGCGTGCACACATCATCCAAGCGCAGTTTGAGCTACATACGGCCCACGCTACTTACCAGCAACACAACGAATAGGAGTAATTAAATGATTATTGTCCTGACCAATTATTAATTTCACTTGTATGCTGATGATCTCCAAATCTATACTCAGTCCTCTCTTGAAGATCTATCTAAAGCTGTTGACACTATTAACGCTGATCTGACTTGTATTTCGAATTGGAGTAAATGTTATGGTTTAACGATTAATCCTAAGAAAACTCAGGTCAATGTCATCGGTAGTTCTCGATTAATTGGTAAAATTGACTGGTCTTCCCTACCCCCTATTATACTTGACTGCACTCTAATTCCTTACAGTAACAAGGTTAAAAACCTGGGGTTGTATCTTGACTCCTGTATGTCTTGGACCTTACAGGTTAATGAGGTCGGTAGAAAAATGTTTGCTGCGTTAAGCTCTTTACGTAGATTACGTAATTTCCTTCCCACAGCAACTAAAGTTACGGTCGCCCAGTCTCTACTTCTGCCTATCCTTGACTATGCTGATATTTGTTATCTTGACATTACCGAGGAGTAGCTTAATAAGCTTGAGCGCATTCAAAATTTATGCATTAGATTTATATTTGGGCTTCGCAAATATGATCATATCTCCGAATTTCGCAAACAGCTCAAATGGCTCCCGATCCGCCTTCGCAGGAATACTCACATTCTCTCCGCGTTGTATAGTGTGCTGTTTAATTCTTCTACTCCTCTTTATTTAAAAAACCGTTTCCAGTATCTTTCTCTTACCCATAATCGGTTCCTTCGTTCCTCCGTCAATCTTTCTCTCTCTACACCTTTGCACTCTTCTTCCTTTTTCAAGAAATCCTTCACCGTAACCGTTATGCGATTGTGGGACTCCTTACCTCTCCATATTCGTCGTACTAAATCTCTTCACTCTTTCAAAAGTCTTGTTAAAACGTATTATTTAGAACGCTATTAGATAAATTACTTTACCTTTCTCGTACTCTGTTTATTTAATCTATTATATGATATTTTATATATAACTTTCACTTATTTTCATTTGTATGTATTATTACATTTTTTATTATTATTTTCTATGTGCCCCTCTATTTTAACTTTTGTTTGCATCATTCCTCTACGCAAAGGTTGTCTGGAAGAAATCACTTTCAGAGTGATAAAACCGCCTATTGTACATACTTTAATTAGTTTTAACTGAACTTGATGTTTCTGTATTGTGGTGTACAAAAAATAATAAATAAATAAATAATTTCGGATTTGCGTTAGAATTACATAACATAATATCTTCACTTAAGAATCCGTAATTATTGAAGTCCATATTCGGCACTTTTTGTGTTGGCAAATTTAATTCTTTAATTTTACGCGTACGGAAAGCAAACATTTCATTAAACGAATTCGTTACATTAACACTCACTACTTGAGATTCACATACAAGCTCGCCCGAGTCCCATGTGCTGCGCACGCGCATTATCACGTTTTCACCGTATAATCCGAGATCATCTGCGATGTCAGCAGATATCACAGTCACGGTAGCTCCATCATCCATGCATATGCAAACTGCCATTCAGTCCGTGAAGTGTGAATGGTACCACTTTCAAAATCACCTTGTGTTAGTGGGATGCCACCGTGTGAGTCACTGTTTAATTGGATGTACATCCTCATCTCGCTCCACAGTTTTTAAACTTTCTTTTGATGACTTGGTCTCGAACCAAGGCAAGAGCAGAATGCAAAAAAAGACTGCATCCTATCCCAATCAGTCGACCTATAGTGCCAAACACGGTGGAAACGTAACTGCGACGTTAGTGTGAATGGCACCACACTCCGTACAAGATAATGATCCGATAAGCCGAGAGGGGACGTAAGCAAAGAGAGTCCGTCCGTCTAAATGAGAGGTCAGCAGAAGGTCCATCAGCAGAAGGAATATTGTTTTGAGAGGAAGCAGAAGCTGTATGATCCTCCACGTCTGGAATTATTCAACGTAGCTGCTACAAATTTTCAATATCACTATATTCGCATAATTGGATAGTCTAATAACTGCAACCACTTCATTGGATCTCCAAAAAATAAAAGCAGGTCTTTAGACGTTGCTAGCTCCTTTTTCTGTATTTTATATGATCAGGCAGCCACTGCCTCATGTAAGGTGTATGCCAGCTTTTCTAACACGATTGTTTCACAAGAATCTTCCCGATTCTCCTCATGCTGGTTTCCTGGAGTATTTAGCCAATTTTCAACTTTTGTAGTCGAAGATATAAAGCCGACTTGTGTAAAAAGCGTGATCGAGATTACAATTCTGCCATCTCAACGGCAAGCTGTTTATTAAGCAGCTTCGAATGAATATTTTACTTAATCCTGGCAGCTCCTGTCTGAGGAATTTTAACCTTGGCTTCTGCTTTAGCTGCTTGTACTTCAGATTCCACTGCTTGTATTTTGAAGAGAGCCATAGCTTTGGCGGTTTCTTATTCCAATTGCCGCTTGCGTGCCGTACTTGACGACGTGCCTGCGGTCTTTAATGACTTTTTACTCCTACTACAGGCACTTTGTACATTTCCAGGTTTTTCCAGCACTTCGTTATTTTAAGATAAATAATGGTAACATATCTTGGTTGTTCTTGCACTCCGATTTTGCAGCGGTGCCATATGCCGCGTAACCGGCGTGCTGAAAATTACCGGTACATATTATTATTATACTGTTTACAGACGACGAAAGGATTCGGTCGAAGGACCACTTTGTTGATGATGTAAGTTTGTGTGTTCATTGGTGTCGTCTAGGAGAAAAATATACTAAAAAAAATTGGTGAGAGGGTGTACATCCACGAGGAGGGAGACCTCGTATGATGTTCTAGTGCAACTGACTAAGCGCGGAATCATGTACTCAGCGGTGCAACACGTGTTGCACACATGTTGCAAATATACCTTCATCTACAATAAAAATCGCGGAAGTGCCACCGTCCCCGTATGCACACGTATTTATTTATTATACAAAAATAACAAATACATATGGTAAGTAACAATTTCTTGTGTGTATATATTTTACATATATTATGTTTTATTAATTAATATTATTTATGTTTTTGATGTCCGAGAAGCAACGTGGGCGTAGTCAATATCCTCGAATAAGAAAAAATTTAAAAAAATTAAGATGCGTTTTCACCGTTGAGGATTAAGTAGAATATGTTTTCAGTTAAAAGAGTGTCCTGTTCCCTACACTCACCATCCGAAACACATCAACATTGGACTTATATTTTACTCTGGTATTCTTTGAGAGCATTTTCCTTACCCGGTAAATCCCGGCCATTCGTGCAACTTAAATAATAAATTTACAGTACCTTAACATCGTGGAAATGCAGGCAATTATCATTTATTGTTAAATAGTTTCCATTAAAAAGGATACCCGTTTCTCTACACACACCATACGAACACAGCAGCATTAAACTGGTATTCTGTGAGGGCTTGGTCCTTCCTCCGTCGACAAACTCATTCATGCTACAACCATAATATAGCTGCAGCGAGTCTCTACAATCATAATAGAGCTACAGCATGGCTATACCCCATGTAAATTTACGTAACATAATTTAGTAATTTAGAAAAAATACAAAAATTGAGAAAAAAGTTACCAATAAGATATTGTAACAAAATTTGTAAGATTCTTGTTTAAAATACAAAGATTAACAAGTTGTCAACTAAAGTAAGAAGCTAAGAGTCAATAGCACCTTGTTAAAACTTCTCGACTATCACTATATGTTGGAACTTTCCAGACGTAGCTCACAAAAATTATTTTTTATTACTTTTGTATAATAAAAGAGTTCCCAAAATCCGGACTAAATGCTAATGCATAATGGTAATCTTAAAGTAATAAATTACATCGTTTTATTTAATTTACTTTAAAAACCTTCACGAATTGGTTTAAAATTCAATTTAAAAACAAAAACTTTTTTAAAATATTCATTAAATTTAAATTAGTACAATTTTAAATGAAATAATTTATTAGTAGTTTTTTTTAACTTTTAATGAAGTTAAAAGTAAACTAATAAACTATAATTTCTTACATTTAAGCTACGCTAAACACTTAGACTACTTTTTGCTGAGCTTAGTATTTATAAGAAATTGACTAGAGTAGTAATATATATGAAAATTATTGTGTTCTGCGTACACATTTATATCGTTTATTAACTTCCTAGTGAGAAGTTATTGTAATGGGTCCGATTTTGCAAATTGGAAATTTTAACATATCTCCACGTTTCAAGGTTTTACAGTCGAATGGTATGGTTTTTAAGAGGATGCACATACATAAAATACATACATACATACATACGTATGTATGTATGTATTTTATGTATGTTCGGATTCAATTTTCGCCTCGTGTATCTCGAGAACAAATAATGATATTGACATGGGACCAGTTTCATTTAAAGCATAATTATTAATTATGTAACTTAGACCTCAATAAATTTTGAGCAAAGGCTTCCTATAAAATGTCAATCTTGAACTTTCCACCAACAGCGCTATCTAGTATCGAACAGAAGTTTTATTTAAGGCATAATTATGTAACTTAGACCTTTTGAGCAAAATCGGTCAAGCCGCTTTTTATGCGGAATGAAAAATTGTATGAAATAATAAAACATATGATATGTTTTTATTCTTCACACCGGGAAGTTAGTCGTGTGGACCTTTCGGGTCGAACCTAGACCGCTTT